CTGACTCTGCTCGGTGTCGCCTTGCTGGGTGAGCCGGGGTGGTGGGGATGGGGGGGCGGCATCCCACGGCTGCTCCCCGTGCTCCCCTGCTTGGCCTTGTCACCGCTGTCCTTCAATTCCTTCCTGTGCTTGCCTCCCTCCTCCAGAGCAGCTGGTTATTTACCAGGTCGGCGTCATCCCCAGCCAGTACTATGAGGTCCTAGGGAACAAAGATTTCTCCGGGTTCAAAACATTGACTGCTGTTGCCGTGACTCTGATCATAGTGAACTCCACGGTAAGACCAGAGGCTCAACATGTCTTGAGAGAGGAAGGGAAAGTTGCCCCTGGCTCCCGTCATGATTCTGGTCACAAAGGATCTAAGTCTGCCCATGTCCAGCTAGGTAGATACGTGTGAGATGGATCACTAGTACAAACTGCTAGTTTTTATTTCATTTTGGGAAATGCTTGTTATTCTCACTTATCTCTTCCTGTCTTTCTCTTTGCCCTCATTCCAGCTAAAAAGCTTCGACCAGTTTATCTGCAACATGATGTACGTGAACTGGAGGAAGTCCCTCACTGAATACCTGCACAGCTGCTACTTCCAAGGCCAGGTCTACTACAGCCTGCATGTGCTGCGTGAGGACATCGATAATCCGTAGGCTGCCTGCGGCTTTTTTCAGTATCTTGCTTGGCTTCTCCTGGACTGCTGTGCACCCTTTCCTGGCTTCTCTGTGTCTCTGGCTAGGGGCTTGAGCCCTAGAAGCTTTTACCATTTAGGCACAAATACCCTCTTCTGCTCTGGTGGTACCTGTTGCTGGCAACTCCTGTGACTGCTGGTCATGATGGTTTTAGGGGTAGGATGTTTCAGTTGCAAGGAATATGGATATCAATCGGAACAGGCACCTACTTCTAGTATAAAACATGCTGTCTGCAAACTCAACCCTTGGCACTCAGTGTGACATTACAAAGGGCCTAGCTGAAGTCAGAGAGCAGTGCCTTTCTTGCCTTCACACAGCCAGTGCTTTAGGACAGTCCCTGTTCTGTTTGAACTTCAACCACCAGAGTCTGCAGCTGAACACAGTTCTGTTCAGTTGGGTTTTTAGTGGTTTTGATAACCCTTGGGAGTAACATCCAGGAAGGGCTTTGTTTTGCACTGTATGAGGGCTGCATTTCCCTTTTCCTGTTCCTAGGAAGGAAATGTCAGGAGTGACTCGAAATATGAGAGGAGGAGCATTCAGTCCCTCCCTGCTTGTCCCAGCCCACTCCAACTGAAGTCCCTCTCCAATTTGCTTGGTGCACTGTCCTGCTTACTGCAGAGCTGCTGATCTTCCTGGGCTGTGCAGCAAAGGTCGAACACCTCCCTTTCTCACAACTGCGTGTGGACCTTGGCCTTCCAGCCTGTCCTTGCACACAGGGCACTGCTGTTGTAGTTATACAGTTTGAAGAGTTAAAGATCCTACGTGAGACATCATGTGAGAAGTCACAGAATCACAGAATATTCTGAGGTAGAAGGGGCGCACAAGGATCATTGAGTTCAACTCTTAAGTGAATGGCTCATGCAGGAATCGAACTCATGGTGTTATTAGCACCATGCTCTAACCAACTGAGCCAATCTCAAGGTAGAGGCTTTTTTCCCCCCTCCAGAATTTAAAGAAGTTATTATTAAATACTTGTTGAAAAACAAGAAATCAAAGGATAATGTTTTACGAACAGGTGTTTAGAGATTCCAGGCTTTCCTGTTCATTTCTGATGGTGTTTTGCAGTGGTAGCGGAGTTGTAAGGAGAGATTAAAAATCCATGCACCAAGGCATGCAGTGCTTCCCAGGGAGTGTAGTGCATTGGCCATAGCCTGCATACCTGTCTTTTTCCTTGGAGGTGGAAGGGAAGTGGAGGACAGAGGCCCCTCACCACATGATTATTCTGGTCAAGTTTATTTTTAACCAGGGAATGTGTTCACACTATGCAGTGAAATGCAGGAGATAACTGGGTCACTCTGCTCTGCAGCAATAGAGCCAGCTCTCTTGACCTTAGCAGACCAAATGTGTGAGATTACTGCAGAGTATTTCTCATTAACACCTTGCTTCTGCTCCAACATCCAGTCTTATTGTTTAGTGTCTTTTTGGTGTCACTGGAAAAATTCTCTTCAGCTTGCAATTTCTTGATGAGAATTTTTTCTCTGCACCTTAGAGAGAATGAAATAGAGAGATGAAGAGACCTCCCATTATGCAGTGCAAACCAAGCTGAGTGTTAGATGCATGGAGTCATCTATCTCAAAGGAATGAAGAGTGCGTTCTAAGTGACATACAAACACTTGCAGCACCTAACAGGGCATTTGAATTGATGTTTATGTGTTTTCATTACATGTTGCTTAATAGCTCGTAAAAAGCAATAGCCTCCCATGAGTCTGTAGCACATCTTAAATTACAACTTTATGGGAACAATTGCAGTCTGAGGAGAAAGAAAAAATTATGACTGTAAGGTCAGTCAGGGTGAGAGCTGCCCCAAACCTACATCCACTGCTGTTCCAGGGCTGCAAAAGATTTGAGATGAAAGTCATTGTAGTTGTATCTGCACTGAGAATAACCAGGGGTCCAGCCTTGCTCTTTGTTCTGATCTCCAACATTCACAGTCACGTCCTTTCCACTTGGGCGTAGCACAGCAGGCTGAAGTCCTTGTCCGTGTACTCTGGGCAGATGAGGTGCCGAGGGAGTAAATATGTTGAAATTCTTCTAGTTACCCCAAGTGCAACTCCTGCTCAGCAGTGCAATAGGTGGGACTTGAAGGTCTGTCGCCCGTGTGCCTGCTGCCAATGAGGTGAGAAGGGTTGGTGTACTGCTGCCTGCTTTTGGGAGCTAGGGCAAGTGGAAGCACTTTCTTCCTTGCAGCAAAGGGACCTGCTACTGTGGAAGTGTGGCTTTGGTGGAAGTGTTTGCAAATATGCAACAGCTGACAAAGGCCTGTGCCGTAGCCAGTCCTGATAGCTCTCATGCCTGAGATGCAGGACCAGTACTGAAGGTCTGGGGGAGAGTCAGCAGTGTTTTGTAGTTTGGGGGTTGTTCCAGGAGAGGAGTAAAGGACAAGAATGCAAGAATGCAGAGACCTTTAGCACAGAGTTGAGCAATGTTGTTGAAAGTGAAACAAAGGATTAATACAAAGAACAGGGTGGAAGTAACAGCAAGAGCTGTTCTTCTTGGGTGACAGGGAGGCCCTCTTAGTTTGGTCCTGCTGGGCCATGGAAATGGTCTCCTATGGGGGAGCAGAAGTCACAGCTGCAGGTCCCTCCCAGGCAGGGTCGTTCACCTAACCCTGTCCTAAGTTCCCACAGTGAAACAGTGTGGCTTGTTCCCTTTTAGGGCTTTAGTACTGGTTCTTGCATCTAGGCTTTAACAGTGTCCACAGCTCTTTGTGTTGAGCAGGGACCAGCGCATCAGCCAGGATGTGGAGAGGTTCTGCAGGCAGCTCAGCTCCATGGCCAGCAAACTCGTCATCTCACCTTTCACGCTGGCCTACTACACACACCAGTGCTTTCACAGGTAAGGATGCATCCTGGCCATGCTTTCATGCCTCTATCCTATGCTCTTTTTTGAAGCCTGGCACCCATGTTACAACTCCCCAGATGGATGTTTGTACGCACAGGTGAGTGGTCTCTGCACTCCAATGGGAATTCTGCCTTGGGGATACTGGGGTGTGCAGTGTTGGCTCCCAAACCTCTGTGAAAGCCAAGAGAGGTCACAGCTGAGGTCTCTGATTGCTTGAGACCAATGATGCAGGAATGTCCTTTTGCTTGGTTTATTAGCTGACCTCTCTTTCTCCTTCTCTGTAGCACAGGCTGGCTAGGCCCAGTGAGCATCTTTGGATATTTTGTCATTGGGACGATTGCAAACAAACTATTGATGAGCCCAATTGTGTCTAAACTTGTGCAACAGGAAAAACTGGAGGGCGATTTCAGGTGAGTCGCAGCTGAGCAGTGTTTTCACTGTTTCTTTGGCAGCTCCTGTGAAAGCTACATTTTTGTCCCCATTCAGTGCTATGTATGCAGCTGCTTCTCTTGTCTGTGACTTTCCCCCCACTCAGAGAAACCTACCTGTGCAATCATGCTCCAAAGTCCGTGTACTGATGGACACTGCCCTTTGTCATGGCAGGCAGTGCCCTTGGTTCAATCTTCCAACTCAGTCTTCAGGCTGTTTGCCTGGTCGTTGCTGATGCCTCTGCTATGGGTGTGTCGAAGAAAACTGAACGTGGAGCTTCACTGGGTGCAGATGCAAGTTCAGCAAACTGCATTTACTGACAGAAATCAGGTTTTTGCTTCACCACCACTTTCATTAAGTTTCCAAAACATCACAGTCTTTCCATATGCTCTGTAACTCACCTACTCTCTTTTTCTATGCAGGGTTGACTGGGTGTGTGGCAGGGGCTTTGCAGCTTTCCCCGGGGCTCAGGGTATTCAAGGACAGCAGCAGAAGCTGGTGTGGCACAGGGAGCCTAGGCCAGGGCAGTGGTTGTGGTGACTCTGTATGGTCGAGATGCTGGACTAGCAGAAAACAGGACCAAGGGCTAAGAAGTTGTGAGCAGAGAGCAGGATACCAAATAAATGCACCATTGAGCTGGTCCAGAATGATGTCACCATGTGCTAAGCCTTGGTCTCTGGTGCCTTTTTGAACCTGTTGAGTGCTTCTGTCAGGAACTGCCTCAGATCAGTGCTCTGACAGATGTAAGATGAGTTTCCTCTAACAGGGGTTTTAACTACATAATTCACTGAGCATTTGTGTACCATTATTATGTTTTTCTTGGTTATCCAGGTTCAAGCACATGCAGATTCGTGTCAATGCAGAACCAGCTGCTTTCTACAGGTTAGTAGTGTTCATTTCTTCATATCCTCATAAGGATCATCCCAGTTCAGGGCATCTTTGTTGTATTTATGTGTCCCACAGGAGCCCAAGTCCTGTTGCTGCAGCCAGAGCTTTCTGTCCCCTCCTTTCCACTGTAGCGTCATACAGCCCTGACATGGTGTTCTTTGCATTCTGTGCATCATTTGCAGAAATAATCCACAAAAACTGGAGACAATTATTTTTCTTCTGCCTCCATTCTAACATCCCTAGAGGCCAGATACAGATTTGGTGCTGACTTAGAGACAATTGCTGATGTTTTGCCAGGTCCTTACCTGGAAGATTGATCGAAGTCTTATCGCATCTTGTTCCTCTGGGAACTTGTTACATGTTGCTAACATCCTGCTGTTGCTGACCTGCATTTCTTCTGTGGGTGTGCGAGCTGCTGCCTGGCCAGCTTACCTCTGCTTGCTCCTCTTGGTCAGTCTGTGCTCTGACCCTCCCTGTGCTGTACTGCTGCTCTGAATTTGCTCAGTGCCATTTGCCCCAGAGCTGAGCACACAACTGGGAGCCCAGCAGCACCTCCTTGTTTAGTGATGCCCTGAAGTCTGCTGAGCTGCTGCTTTGTTCACAGAAATGTTGAGAACCCAGGAAAAGAGCCGTGATTTTCCTGTAGCTTGTTTTGGGGTGGCAGGAGGTTGTTGCTTCTCTCTTGTCACAAGTCTGCCCTTGTGTTGTGAAATTGCACTTCTTCCAGGAATTTAAGCAAGCAGAAGCTGTCATCTCTCTGGTCTTCCCTGCCTGTGATCTATATTTGTCTCCTTCGTGCTGTAATGACTGGGCATTTCAAGTGTTGTAGTGCTGTCTCCAAAGTGGTTTGATTTCAAGATCATTGCTTTCATAAAGATTTATATTGACAGGTATGAAACTGATTTAAATAACTGAAATCAATCTTGGTTTGCATTGGCAAGTCTGAGTTATCTCTTTGTGGACTGGTTGATTCCTACTGGTTGATTAGAATTTTTTGTAATGGAGAAGATACTCTAATTGCATACCCTTATTTAAGCTGCAGTACTTTTCCTCACAATTTGGAATTGTTTTATTCTGTTACTAAGTAGAAAATGGAAAGTGAATTATACAAGAAAATAGAGTGTCTTACTTCAGCACAATCTGTTAGTAGGAAAGGTTGACTTTGTGAGAAACTAGAATTAAATTGAAATGCACAAAACCAGGCATTTTCATGGTATTCATCTTAATTAAAAATAAAGGAATTTTTTTAAAGGTTGCATTCTTAGAGTCCTGCAAGAGGATGAGCATGAAGCGAGTGGCTGGTTTTGACTGCTCAACTTCTCTAGCTGTTAAACCTTGTCCTCTTGCACCTGCCTGACCACTGTTTTGGTAAAGGAAGAAACAAAAGCTGAGCACTGTCACTTTTTTACTTTTTTTGTTTCTAAGCCTTTGGCAAACTTGCTTTAAAAGTGAAGTGAGTGAAAGGAAAAGAGGAAACCAATACAGGAATCTCTCTTCCTCTGCAACAGAAATAGTAGCTCTGGTCCTTGGTGCCTTGCTTGCCTTTAACTCCTTGTGTCCAAGGTTTTGTCCTCTCTGAATACATGGACAGCAAAGATTGCTGTCAGTGGTTCAGTAGTTACCTGAACTGGGTTGTAGGACAATAAAGCCAAACTGAATTCTAGCAAGATGCATTTTTGAGAAAGAAAATGTATTTTTCTAAGACCTGAGAATCTTCAGAAATGAGACTTAAAAAATCTTAATTTAGATGCTTTTGTGCAGCTTCTGGCCTTATCTAGTCAGGCCCTTCTGTTGCATGGACTGTGATGGGAGTGTGGGTATGTACTGAGCACAAGCCTGTGTTAGATGTCAGGGGCAATAGCTGCTGTGGCCATATCTCTTGAGTGAGATGTGGAGCTCTCTGCATTTTGCCACCTGAGGGCAGCCTAGGCCTTTTAAAACAGCAGAAGGAGCTGCCGCACTTGTTGAAGGTGGTGGTTTAGAGCTGAGATGTCTCCTTGCTACTGGCTCAGCCTGGCCATGGGAGCATCACTGCAAAATTGACTGGTGGGTGACCCGATGGGGATAGCCCTGGAAAGGGGGAGTTGTGGGGCTGGGGTCACCCTCACTGGGGGCTGCACTGTTCAGGACTTGTCTTTGACCCACTCCTGTGAAGTGGGAAATAGGAAGAGGTGACCTGGGGCTGCTGGCCATGTAGGCTGTGTGGGCTTATTATCACCTCCTGGACTCCCCTCTGCCCTCTCCTTTCTGGCTCTAGCTGTGTAGCGGTTCCATCCCAGTCTTCCACCCAGGCTCTGCTTGGGAAATGTGTTTGACCTGGGGTGTGCATTGCTCCAGGCTCAGGCCTTGCAGACAGTGACCCTCTTCCTGTTTGCAGTAGCAGCATCCACAGGCTCTGGGAGAGATTTGCAAGACTGCTTGTTTCAGCCAGTTTCTTGATGATGCTCTTCAGGAAGGTGCTCTTGGCTGTTCAGTTCCTGCTCAATGAAGAGCTTGTTACTTGGAAGTGAAGGTGCCAGACTTGTTCCAAGCCTCCGTTTTAAAGCCCATGGGTCCTGGGATGTCTGTTGCAATCTTATTTTACAGGGCTGGGCGAGTGGAGCACATGCGCACAGACCGGAGGCTGCAGAGCCTGCTGCAGACCCAGAGAGAGCTGATAGGCAAGGAGCTGTGGCTATGCAGTGAGTGGGGAGTTTGAGGGGTGAAGTGGGGTGTGTGGTAGCTCCACTGTGGTGGCCCACAGGCATGGGAACTCTACTGGTAGAGCATTTGGGTGGGTGCTGCGTTTTCCTCTCCCGCCTCTTGCTGGTGCATGAAAGCCCTGAGGGTGAACAGAGGGTGTCTCCTGGAGTGCTAAATGGGAATCCTATTGTGTAAAAGCCTCATAAAGAGGCAGAGCTGTGGAGAACCCAGGAATCTGGCTTTCTGGGGGGCAGGTGTTCAAAGGCCAGGAAAAGAGGGAAAAGCTTAAGCTTTGGGGAAGGAGAAGATGGTGTATGTGGTTGGAAGCTGTGGAAACTTCTTTCCTATAGAGCCTGTCCCTTAAGCATAGTTGTCCTCTGAAAATCTCCCTTCTCCCATTGTCAATGAGTCCAGGTTTTGGCTTTAAATGACCACTATAAAGACAGCTCTTCCTCATCTCAGAAACATAGTGAGCTTCTGAGCAATGTGTGGGAGGGAGAGCCCTGAACAGAGGTGTCTGTGGGAATTTGGGGTCTTAAGTCTTTCTGCCTGTTGTGTGCTCCAAGATACACTTCATGGAAAACAATCTCAACCCAGAGCTTCCTTTTTGCAATCCCTCCTGTTTACTGTGAGTCAGCCAGACCCCTGAAGCATAGAAACAAGCAGGCAAAGTGACTTTTGCCCCATGGTGGTTCCTGAGCTGTATGTCTGGAGGTTTCTCTGTTCAGGAGTCTGCCCCAAAGTGCTCTTTGCTTGGCAAATGAATTTTCACCCTAGTGCTTGTGCTGTCCTGTGAAATGAGTTCTTCTGCTCTGGTGCATCATAAAGGGCTGAGACAAGAACATGTGTATTCCTCTGGCTGGGCTCATGGGCCACATTTGAGCCTGGCTGGGGCAGAGGTTCCTGCTCTAACTCTTTATCTTCTCTCAATGTGTTTCTGCCCAGTTGGGATCAACACCTTTGACTATCTGGGTAGCATCCTGAGCTACGTGGTCATTGCCATTCCCATTTTTTCTGGGGTCTACAGTGACCTGAGTCCAACAGAGCTCAGTGCCCTCGTCAGCAAGGTGAGTTAAGGGTTATATCCCAGACTTCATTGTGGATGGTGAGCAGGCACTGAGGATGGAGGTTTCATGTGGGGCTGGTGGCCCTGGGGCTGGATAGTCATGCAGCCCTTGACCTTCAGGTTAGACTGTCCCTAGCCATGGTGTCATGGAAATGGGAGCTTGTAGCCAGCTGGTATATGATTAACCTGGGAGTGAGAGCTGTCAAGGTCACATCTACATAAGTGTTTACTAGCTCAGACCTGAATGTCTAAAAAATAGCGAGATCAGAAAGTCTCTGGCTTTCAGCAGTGTGGGGGGATTGGGGTCTGCTCAGTGCTGCAGGTCTGCCCGTGGTGACCACAACCACCAGCGAGGCCGAGCTGGCTTGCATTTGCCTTCCTGACCTGACTCGTTACCAGATACTCAAAACTGGCTTCTGATAGAGAATGCAGAATTAAAAATAGCTAAGTGAACACTGCTGGCTGAAACACCCTCCTCTGAGCCTTATACGGTGCTGGTGGCATGGATCTGCATGACTTAGGGCAAGTGTGCTGGACCCTGGGCTGGCCAGCAGGCACTCTGCAAATACCATCCCTGGGTGGCAGGACATGTGTCCACCTGGCAAGAACTGCTGCACTGAGCAGGGAAGCCCTGTTCCTTTCAAATGTGGTCATCTTCTCCTTCACTCCCACCACCATGGGTGACTTCACAACCTCTCATTGATCTTGCAAAGTCAGCTGACATGGCCAAATATGTGGACTCCTTGGCTGCCTCCTTGCAGTCTTGAAGTAAGGGACAGCACCCCAGCTCAGCACTGACCCTTACTCTGGCATGTGATTTCTCCCCAGAATGCTTTTGTTTCCATCTACCTCATTGGCTGCTTCAGCCAGCTCATAGATCTCTCCAGCACTGTGACCGATGTAGCTGGCTACACACACAGGTGAGCTTCTCTGTCAGCACATCTCTGGGAGAAAGGGAAGTGCAGGACAAGACTCTGCCCATGTCTGTGCTAAAAAAATAAGAAAAAATTGCTTGTGTGCAAACATGGGCACGTTTGGATATTGTGAGGAGGCTGCTGGAGTTGTCTATAGCATTCATGCAACCTCTTGTTTGTCTAGGATTGGTGAACTGCAGGAGACCTTGCTGAGCCTTGGCAGAAAAAAAAATGGTAACTACTCAGAAGCCAAAACGAGCTGGGATTTGGACGGGTGAGTCTCCTCTCAACAACTGGCCGGCTTGCAGCTTACATGCCAGAGTGTGAGGCTGCTGTGGGATGGAGATGGCCCCTGCTATCAGAATCTGTTGCACACAGTTGGTTGGAGCAGGCAGTGCTCACTGTGATTTGTTGTTCCTGGGGTGCGTGGGGCAAAGCTGCTGTCACAGAGACACAGGAGGTCTAAGGTGCCTGATTTTTGACAATCTCAGCGTGGTCACTTACCCCCAGATCTCTCCTCCTTTGTCTTGGTGGTGGCCCAGCAGCCATTTTGGGGAGGACCCAGTGCCAAGGGACACAGCTTTCCTTCTGGACCAAGTGACGCTTTCGGTGCCGTCCTCTGGCAAGCTGCTCATCAAGGACTTGAGCCTCAGGATCTCACAAGGAAACAGTGTGATGATTGTGGGAAACACTGGTACAGGGAAGACATCTCTCCTGAGGGTCCTTGGAGGACTCTGGGAGAGCACACGGGGTAAGGACTGCTACATGCTGCAGCCTTTTCTTTCTCAACCAAGGCTACTCTGAGTTTGGAAGGTGGTCTTGTGAGGCCAGTGCCACCTTGTGATGGTGAATGTGTCACTGATCCACCGACTGGAGCCATTCTGTGGCTATCACATTCTGTGGCTCTCATTGCTTTGTCCTGTGTTCCAAACACACTTTTGTGGGGATTTGTTGGCTACTTCATGGGACAGGACTACACAGGGGGCAGTGGGGAGTTGCTGGTATTGCAGGCTTGACTGAGTGTGTCTCTGTGCAGGGAGCATCAAGATGCTGACCTGCTTTGGCCCCCGGGGAGTGGTATTCCTACCACAGCGGCCCTTCTTCACCGACGGAAGCCTGCGTGAGCAGGTGAGCCCAGGGGCTGTCTCTGCTCTGGCCTCAGCTCTGCTCCCAGCTGTGGTCATGCCCTGTGAACCTATATGGTGCAGATAGGCCTGCAAGAGGGAAGATGCCTGTGGCTGCTCTTTCCCTTGTGCCTGAGTTCATGCTACCCCCTTTGCATACCTGAAGGACTGTGTCCAGCTCCCTCAACATGGTTTCTTTTGCTCTGTTAAACAGGTGATCTATCCCCTGAAGGAGATCTATCCAGTTTCAGGTATGTGGAAATTCATTAGAGCAATTAACCAACCCTGTGGTGTCGGCTCACTGTCCTGTACTCAGTGTAGCTTCTCCCCTGCCATGGCCCATCAAGAACACTCATCTCTTTTGCTTTTGTTGCTCTGCTTTTCCCTACAAGATTTACCTTAGTGTATGTTAAGGTCAGCTCTGTGTACCCTCCCTTCTGGGAGGGAACGTATTCACTTGATAAGAATTTACTCTCTTAGTACAATGAGAACAAGCTGGCCATGCTCTACCTGCTGTGCTAGACGTGATACATGTTGCTGTTGGGATACATCTGATCTGTCTGGCACAGTCTGACTTTGGGCAAGCCATGTTTGTCTTCATCTCATTTTCCATTCACCTCCATCTTTCACTGTTTCTCTTTTTCAAATGATATCCCAGGGCTTTGCATTCTCTTGAGGTCAGAATACATAGATCCTTTTTTCTTCCCTGCCCTCTTCCCAAGTCAGACCACATGAGGTCTGCCGTAGCTTGGAGATGTCCAGCAGTGTTATCTGCTGCTTTCAAACACTTGGGAGTCACAATCTTGCTGAGAGTAGCTACAGCCATCAGCTACTGTTGAAGCTGTTCAGCAGCTTCCTAGAGGTCCATGGCAGATGCACAGCCCTTCTACTCAGGTTCCATAGATGCTGACTGTACCAGCTCAAATGTATATTCTGCTCCACAGCTGATTCACCCTGAGGTTTTTCTCATCCCACATAGCGTCCTTTTGCCGGCTATTACCTGAACCCTGTTTCCCTGACTCCACCACCCGCAGTGTGCAGTCTCAGCTGTTAGAGCAAAACTGATAGGCAGGGCCTTGGCAATTGAAGCCTGGATCCTTGTGTTCTGACTGTGTCCATCTGTGGCCATGGACTGACCCAAATGTCAGGTGTATCTGTGGAGCCCAGCTACATACTGGCATGCTGCTCACAGGCATGGCTAACATTTTTAAGGAAAGGTCAGTCTTCGAGGCTATCTGTGCCAAAGCTCAGGACCTGGTATAATTGAGGGATCAGGTCAGCTACACTGAATGTCAGGAAATCCTTCCCTTCTGCCCCACCAACTCCTCTGGGCAGCTGTGGCTTCAGCACACATTGCCCTTGCTTATGCTGTGCAGCTTTCTCCCCAGGGTCTGCAGATGATGAAAGAATTGTGCGATTCCTGGAGCTGGCTGGGCTGGTGAGTCACTGGTAGTGCTGCTGCCTTCTTTCCTGGTGCTGCCAGTGAAGGAAGAAGGGATGATTTTTTGTCGCAGCACAGCATGACTGTGTGCTGGACTTATGTGGGGACATTGTAGCTGGGGCAGGACTGTCTATGGGACAGGAAGAGAAGGAGGGATAAGGAGCAACTTCAGCTCAAGTGGGGAAAGTGAGACTAGCAGGAAAGGGGTGGTTATGCTCAGAGCCATGGGCTGACAGGGTTGGCGACTGTGTTCACAAGTCTGCTGTGCTCTCTGCAGACTGATTTGCTGGCAAGGGCTGGAGGACTGGATGAGCAGGTGGACTGGAACTGGTAAGGGAGCTCACTATCTGCATGAATTTGGCTGATTTCTTTGAGTGGGGAACACTTCTAAGCAGCATGGCGAGGGGCACAAGGAACATGGGGACAGTTGCTTGTTGATGTCTCTGATATCAGAAGCCATATAATTTTCAGCAAACAAGTTCTGTTTCTTGTGGGAGGTATTGAATCTTGACCCTGCTGCAGGTATGACATCCTGTCTCCAGGGGAGATGCAGAGACTCTCATTTGCACGGCTCTTCTACCTCCAGCCAAAATATGCGGGTGAGTGACTGACTACTAAAGAAAAGGGGAGGGGGGGAAGGCAGGGCCTCTGGTGTAAAGAGAAGCTGGTACAGAGACAGCTCATGAAATCCCTTGTTTGCTAGGAGCATGCTTCGCCTTGGCCATTATTTTAGCAGCATAGCACACAGAGGATTCAGTTGTGAAAACATTTCATTATTTGTGTGGAGGATGGTAAATCAAGAACTGTACATAAGACATACTCTTTTTAGGGAATTAGTGATTAATGTTCTTCGTCCAGGTCCAATGGCACCTGTCCAATGGCATGCTCACCAGTTGCTATGTAAAGAAGTGTTTATGCTGGGGAGTGTGGTGGCGGCTGCCATATCTGAAGCTCACAAACATCTGTAGGGTTGTGGAAGCAATATGGGAAATTTAGCCATGACATGGCAAAAGAAGACAAGGACCAGTGGAGAAACAGTCCTGAGAGATCACAGAAGCATCTGTGATTAGCTGATGGGGCCAATTCCTTAGTCTTCTCTGCTGGGTGGGCTGTTGGAGGACTTGCCATGAGGGCCAGGGTGGATGTGGGTGAACAGAGCCAGTGTCAGTAGCAGGCAGCCACAGGTAAGTACCTCTCTTTCCCCTGAAGCCTCCATCACAGCTTGGTGCTGTCTGGGCAAAAGGAACCTGTGGATTGCAAACTAAAAACTGTAGAGATGGTGTAAAACAAATTGAATTTTTCTGCTCCAGATCTGTAGTATTTACCTTTAACAGTCAGGAAGGTGCTGCAGGCCATCCTAGCAGCTCCACATGTGGTGTGCTGGAAGGGTGCACTGGCTGCTGCTCATCTTGGTGCTGTGGCACGTGGCTTGTCTTGAGAAGGTCATGTCTCAGCTTTCTCACTGGGGGGATGAGGCAGTGGCTGGCAGCTGTTGAGGGAGAGGAATGAGGAGAACAGTGCAGTTTGGATGGATTCAAGGACTTGAGGAGAAGGACAGCTTTCCAAATTGACTGACACCAGCTGTGCTAGAGGAATACCAGAGTCCTTAGGCTTTTCCTCCTTGCCTTCTTTACATGCTCTTGGTGAACTCCAGTTAATAAGTGAAATGTTCTTGGCAGTTGCTGCTCTTTTGCCTATGGGAAATGTCTGGCTGGAGAGGATTTGTGGGGTTTACGACATTTCTTTCAGTGCTAGATGAAGCCACTAGTGCCTTGACAGAAGAGGTGGAGCATGAACTGTATCGTCTGTGTCTTCAGCTGGGCATGACGCTGATCAGCGTGGGACACAGACCCAGCCTGGAAAAGGTGAGGCAGGGAGACAGCATTCCATGCCTCCCTGGTGGTGGCAAGATAGAGGAGATAGAGAGGGTCTCCGGCGAGCAGAGGGGAGTGACTAAGGCTGGAGTACGTCACTGTGGGAGGACATGCCCTTGTAGAGACATCCTTCAACATTGTGTTATTGAATTACAGTTCCACAGCTGGATTTTGAAACTTCATGGAGAGGGAAGATGGGAGCTCACTCGATGCGAGAAGATGAAGCGGCTCCCTGCTGGGGAAGGACACTGAAAAACATGCCCTTGTCTGGCCAGATGCAGAACCTGCACATCTGGGAGAGCTCTCTCAATAGCAGACATGGAGCTGCCAAGCCAGCAGCTGTCAACATATGATTCAAACAGTGGAAGACCAATTCTGGATTTTGCTGATGGACACAGAGCATGTCAGAACTCATAGTGTGGGGTTCTGTCAGGAGCAGACAGCTATGCCATCCTTCTCCTGGCCTCCTTCTGCCTCCCTGGCTCTCTTGAGGGAAAGGGGTGAGCTGCTAGGCTGCCCAAAGAGAAGATGCTGCCTCATGGGCCTTGTAGAAACAAGGGCCAGAGGAACCTCTGCTTTGTCCAGGATGCAGTGGTGTGAGGCTAGGATGCAGCCTCCTTTTCTGCCCTCTGTGCCTTTCTGGGAGCTCTGTCTTTGATACACAGCTCTGCAGAACAGATTTCTGCACTTTGTGGCTCTATTGAGGGTTGTGTTCCCCAGGAGGAGCATTATAAGGGGAGGAGAATGCTAGCACAGAGAAGGGGTGTGTCTCTGCTCTCCTTATGACACATAGCTACATGTAAAAGGAACATTTTTGTATTAAAATATGGAGCCTGTTTTCAAACTATTTTTATGGAGAAGAGTCAATATTTGTTAACTGGACTGCTGGATGTTTTCTTTCTGGGGTTTGCTTTGGAGGAGATGCTTGTATGGTCCTGGACTAGACTGGCTGAAGAGCACAGCAGGGGTAGGAGTAATATACCTGTCCAGCACTAGCAATCCTGCCCAGCTGCTATCTCCACAGCTCTTGCAAGGCACAAGGAACCCTAAGGAGGGATTTTGGCCCTCTTCCTTTAGGGTAGGAAACATAGCTTGTTTCCCCTTACTGTTCTGCCTGTGATGAGTCATGTTCTCTCACCTGCCTCATATATGTGTGTGGAGGCAGGTTTTGAGGGTCTCTGTGTTGTGAAGAGGTCACTCTGAGAATGCAGTGGAGGTGTGGTCTCTGAGCACTTACTGGCCACCACTTGCTTAGTAGAAATTCTGGATGTTTCCCTAGTTTTGCAGTGAAGGTAGAGGAGGTGGCTGCTGGCAGAGCCAAGCTAGTAGCTCTTCTGCCCCTCCACAAGGTGCTTGTGTCCCTCTATGATCTGCTGCACAGCTTCATGGTCATCCAGTGTGGTCAGGTCCCCAAGCTCACTGGCCTTGTCCTCCACGATTTTCCGTAGCACCCGACGCATAATCTTACCCGAGCGTGTTTTGGGCAGCCGGTGTGTGACCTGTGATGGGGAGGAGCAGAATTAAGGCTGAGGTAAAGGGGTTGGCCAAGCTGCCAGGGTGCTGGAGCAGCCTGCGTGTGTTACCTGAACGTAATCTGGAGCTGCGTACTTAGCGATCTTCTTGGAGATGAGCTCCTGTAGCTCAGCAGCAAGAGTCTCCTGTGTGTAGCCACTGTCCTTCTTCAGCACAACAAAAACGTAGGCTCCTGGCAGAAAGACCTGAGGTTACTGAGCACCGTGTACACCATGCTCCTGAGGGCCTGCCTGGACTTAGTGCCAGGAGAGAACTTCTCTGCTGGTAGCCTCTGGGGATGCTCTGTAGCCAAAGCTGTGAGTGTTTTTGACCATGATGCTGCTGCTGTCACCTTATGCAAAGCCTAGCTGGTCTTGTGCAGTTGTGATGGCTGTGCTGAGATCCCTGCTAACGTGCTGTGTGGTGTGGACACAGCCACAGTGTCACTTTCGACTGCAGTCCCTTAGCCCCAGGAGAGATGTTTCAGGGGCAGGAAATCAAGCATCTTACCTTCTCCCTTGATCTCATGTGGGTAGCCGATGACGGCAGACTCTGCCACTGCCACATGATGATTCTGGAAGAGAACAGGGCTGGGGTTTGGCTTGGTGCTTTCAGCAGGCTGGCTGCCACCTGGGAGCTGCCCTGAGCTGACTTGGCTGCTGCAGCCTACCGTAATGCAGAGAGATAAGGAAGGGCCTCCGGTGGCCTCTGCCCTTTTTCCTTCTTGCCTCAGTAGGTCTGCAAACACAAGTCTTTTCACCCTACCCCTGGTTGCTTTAGGCTTGCACCTTGTAGACCCTGTTCTGTGCCTATAGGTTGCTCCACCAGGTCCCACAATCTTCACTGGCCCAAAGATGCTCCTCCTTAACATGTCTGACTGCTGCTTTGGGATTCACTCGCTTAGAGCATCAGCCTTACCAGGCTTTGTCTCTCCCTTGCTGTAGAGAGCCAGAATGAGAGGGGAAAGGGTGGGAAGCTGTTCCCACAGGCAGGCTCTGGGTCCAACACTGTTCCCTGCTGCTACAGCAGCAGCGTATTTCCATCTGGGGATTCAAGAGAGACCTCCCTGAGCACTACCAATGTCCCTTTGCTGTTTCCTTGGATGGCTTTACCTCCCACCCATACCTCTTACCACAATGTCCTCCACCTCTGCAGTGCCCAGCCGGTGTCCACTGATGTTAATTATGTCATCCAGCCGTCCTGTTAGCTGGTAGTAGCCCTTCCTGGTACGATACGCACCGTCCCCAGTGAAGAAAAAACCTGCCAGAACCATGCCATGGTCACTTGTTGCAGTGAGCATGTGAGCTGCTCACCAGCTGGGTTTTCACCTTGCCCCGTTTTCCTCTCTGTTGGCACCAGGGCTCATGTACTCTGTGCCTTCCTCAACTGCTCAGGGTGAAGGTGCCTACCTTCCTTGTTAGTCTTCTGCCTCTTTTGGTGCCTGATCTATCATCAGGCTCCTTCCCTCATTCTGCAGTGTGCTGGCTAATGCCCAGCCTACCTCATCACCTCATGCTGGAAACACTTTGCTCCAGTGCAGGTGCCTGTGGTCTTGCTGCTTCACCTCTTAGCTTCACATCAAAACACACACACTCTGGGGCTTGCTCAGTGCCTTGGGGTGAGTGATAGACGCTGACAGGATTTGCAAGAGATGCACCAAGAGGTCTGTCTGTGCTCAAGGGGATTGGGGGCAGAAAGAAAAATCCACTACCTTAAGACAATGTGTGATCCAATGGGGAAGGTTGGTGAGAGAGACCCATTCCCAGGGCAACGCTGCGGTAACAAGCCTGAGGAAATGAAGGGCCTCAGCACTGAGGAGGGTCTATGGAAGAACAAAGCAGCCGTACCCGCTCTCCTGAGTCCTGCCTCCATTCAGAAAGCCAGCAGGCAGACACAGTCATACCCAACCGAACATGTCTTCAGTGCCCTGCCACCTGTTTTCCTTACCTGGATAAGGAGTCAGATAGGTTTCCAGAAATCTTTTGTGGTCATTGTAAATGGTTCGTGCCATACCTGGCCAGGCTTGTGAGATGCAAAGGGCTCCAGAGATGTTGTTTTCTAGAAGGACATTTCCCTGTAAAATAGTTACTTTTTAGTAACCGTGGCTGAGGGTACTTGGAATGTTTAGTTATTGCCTGTTTTAACAACCCTGTGATGGAAATGTCAGGGAAGGCAGTGAGGAGGGTCCTTTGCTCCCCAGTCCAACAGGACAGGCTTAGTCTCTCCCAGCCCCAATCTGCCTACCATGGTGGGATGCAGGGCCCCTCCAGGGACATTGGATGTTCCTGCCTAGCTACCTCACCTTGGAGAGATGTGCCAGGGAGCCCAAGCACAGCCTGTCTTGTCAGGACAGTGCAAACTAGAAAACAGTTCAACTTCTGCACTAGTTGGAAGGACAGCTTCACTGTTTCTCCCTTTCCAGTAAGAAGGTTGCTGTCCAGCAGAGGTGAGCAGGAAAGACATGTTCACAGCTCTCTACTCCCATCAGCAAGTATATTCTGCAAGTGGCTGGTGGAAAGTGGGCTGAGCCAGTGCCTGGACTGCAGGTTATAAATATACCTTGTCATCTAAGAGGGTGGGGCTTATCCCAAAAAAGGGTCTCATAGCCATGCCTGGAAGGATTTCTGCTCCGGGATTAGAAGGACGGGGTGAGATACAGATGCCTCCTGTTTCTGAAGAAAAAGAAACCGTAATGCTCATCAGAGTTGGGAACAAGAAGAAAGCCAAGTAGCACTGCTTGGCTAGCAGCCTTTATCCTGGCCCCACTGCACATGGCACAGGCTGTGGCTGGGTTTGCCAGAGAGCTGGGGAAGGCTCTTTGCAGATGGAGGATGTACTCATTTAGTTCAGCAGGAATCTGCTGAGATGTGCCATCAAATCCTTCGTGTTTGTCTAGGTTACCTTTAAAGGCCATTTCTCTCTTTCATGTTTAGGTGCTCCTGGGCCCTTACAGCCTTGCTCATACAAGAGTGTCAGTAACAACCATTATCACTTGGCCAACAAAGCAGCAGGTCACTCCTGAAGCCTGGGAGAGCAGAAGCTGGAACAAGGAGTCATATGCATCTCACCGGTTTGCCACCATGTGTCCACTACTGGGCATCGTGTCTCGCCAACCACACGGAAGTACCATTCCCACGCCTCCTTGTTGATGGGTTCCCCCACTGCAAGGGGAAAGACAAGGGAGCAGAGCAGAAAAATCAGGTTCAGGACACAGCTTCCCATGACCTGCTTGTGGAGCCATCCCCAAATAGTGTAGTGTCCTGACTTTGGGGTCTCGTTGCTGCTGTTCTTGGCATTTGTGGGAAGAGGCAGAATCTGATGCGCAAGGATTTGCTGCTCCAGCCCATGCTGCTGCACTTACCTGAGCCAAGCACTTTGAGAGAAGAGCGGTCATACTTCTTCACCCATTCATCACCGTATCGCAGGAGCAGGCGGATGGCAGTGGGCGCCCCATAGAACTGGTTAATTCTTAACCTCTCTACTGTTTCCCAGTAGCGGCCTGAAATGGAAACAGGGCCAGTGAGCACCCACGCATGTCCTCCCAGCCCAACACCAAGATAAAGATAGAAGAGGTGAGAACAAAGGCTCTCTAGCAGTGCCAGGACCCTCAGCCAAGTTAATCCCATGATAGGAAGGACTGAAGCTATTCAGGAGCAGCAGCAGGCCCTTTTCCTCCACATCACATAGCTCTGCTACTCTCCCTGCTGCAGGGAGGGGCAGGGAATAACAGCTCCGCCCCTGGAGAAGCAGCAGTGGCTTCCTAAGCAGAAGAAAAGACTCTTCCCCTGGTAGCTCTCTACTGGGCATAGCCTGCAGTCTGCTCCTGAGGCAGCAGAGCCATTGCTGCATGTGTCCTGGCATCAGGCTGCCTGCAGGTGTTGCAGGGTGCCGTGGAATATCCCACCTCCCCTGAGACACCTCACTCACCAGGGTTAGGATGGACAGGAGTGCTCTCAAAAAGGACTGTGGTGCCACCATTGCAGAGAGGGCCGTAGACCACATAGGTATGCCCCGTGATCCAGCCAATGTCTGCCACACAGCCAAAGATGTCCCTGTCCTGGTAGTCGAACACGTACTAAACAAGAGAAGAGAGGCAGTGAGGGGTAGTGCCAGGGCCTGCCTTCCTTGCAAGGAGGACAACAGGGAGCAGTGTACTCTCTCTCAGCCCTAACATTACTGCATCCTTCTATCTTCCTACCACCCCTGCAGGGACTCTTTCTTCCTGCAGAGTTTTTGAAAACATCAGAAAAAAAATAAAATGCTTTATGAAGGTGAAGGATATAGACACTTAATAAAAAAAAGAACAGCCAAATTTGCACTTTTCCAAAGGAGAGAACTACAGCCTTTCCTTCCTTTTGCTGATGTCTAGACGAGGCTGATCCAAATATCCTGTGGCATCAAAACAGAACGTTCTGGCTAAGGAATGTCCCTCTGTACTTACATGCCTGCATGGAAGGAGAGGAGTTGTAGGCAAGGGCAAAGTGGTAGAGAACTCCATGAACCTCTCCTGGGCACTTCTGGGCTCCTGGACAGTAAACACTCAGGAAAACCTGAGCTCATCAAGGAGCCCAGCATAGGAGCAGTGAGGCAGCAAGCAGAGGGACCATGTGATACTTTGGCCCAGAGCAACCCCAACTTGCCCACAAAAATTGGAACCTCTCCACCTCAGCTGGATGAGTGCTGTCCTGTGCCTGCAGGCAGGTGGAAATCAGAACAAGCTCTTCTTCCCACTGCCCCATTTATTCCTTGGGAGACCCTTGGCTGCAAGGCTGGAATATGAAGGAAGGATGCCTACCCTGTGCAGGGCAGAACTGAGTGCTGTCAGATTGGCAGCGACACATCCAGTTTCCTTAAGCACTCTCCTTCATTTCATTTTCTTAGTGCCAGGAAAACTTCCTAGGGGCTGGTCTCCCAGTAGCCCACCACTTCTTGCTTTCTCCTCTTACTTGTGTGGTTTCAGACTTTCCTGTCTCTTCCTGCAGCTCCCTGCTGCAGGCTGCCAGCTGGGACTCCAGGGCCCCAAGTGTTCCATAATGCTCATAATGGAAGCTTCCCCTGCTTCATCTGTCTTTTTTTAACAGAGCAGTGAGTTATGGTAGCAGCAGTCTGCCCCATCAAACTGAGGGATCTGTTTCCAGATTTCCACTGCTCCTGAGAGCTAACATGGCCACGTGCTGCTCACCCTTTGCATTGCCATTCTGGTATGGCAGCCCTGGCTCTCACAAACCTACTCTGATGGTCTCAAGTGGGTCACTTATTGTGCTGGGCAAAGCTTAGCTCAGAGGGAAATCAAGGGCTTCCACACACCCCGGGAAGTATGGTCTCCAGCATTCACAGCTAACAGAGAAGACCCAGCCAGCCCTGAGCTTGCTTAGTCACAGCGTGCATGGTCTGAGGCACTGCTGGAAAGGCAGTCATGCACAGGGAGAGCCAGACCCAAAATTAAGGGACTGTTCAGTTAGGAACTCCCTCGGACACAGAACCCCATATAATTTCATAGGAATGCCCCTTGCAACCATTCCTGTGGCCACATGCATCTCTGTGCTCATTGCCCTTTTATCCAGCTTGGTTAGAGTTTGGTTTTGGCACGTGTCATGGTTAAAGGCTTTCCTCCTACCAAAGATGACCCACACTCTTCAGGTATAGGTCCTTCTCATGAGGGCATTCACCAGCTTTTACAGATGTTGTTAAATGTGCCCCTCCCAGAAGCACTGCCTTCAATCTCCCACATGAGTTGGGGTACTTACACTTAGGAAAAGCAAGCCACAGTTTTTAAGGAGCAAATGGATTCTTCCCCCTCACACAGTTGTGATAGTTTCAGTCTAGGCCTTCGTGGAGACCAGCTTGTAACCAGGAAGGAGCTAGGGAAGTGACCAAGGAAGTATTCCATGCTATTCCTTTACATAAACTGAGGTATAAATAAAGGTGGTCAGAGAGACCTCACTCTCTCTTCTTCCAGTGAGGTTTGGGAATGGTAGATCCTTGTCTCGGTCTTGCTTATCTGGAGCTGAGGCCTGCAGTGACTGGTGTTGTGTACCATGCGTGAGGGGAGAGTGCTGGGCTGCGTCCGGCTGTCCTGCTTCTCTCAAGGGAAGTGGTGAGATTCTGTTAGTTCTTTATTTTGTCAGTACTGGGTTTTTCGATTGTGCATACCTGGTTTGTTTTCGTCCATTTTTGTCCATTTTTGTCCTTTTTTCCCTTTTCCCTTCCCCTCTTTCCCTTTTGGGAGCAATTTGGGGTTTCTGTGTTCATATGTACATAGCACCTTAATTGTATATCTGTAATATATGTAAAATATATTATATATTTTATATAGCTTTTGCTATTCAGTTTTTTTTTCTTCTCTCTCTTCTGAGAGCTTTTCTTCTGTAGTCTGTGGGGTTTGGCGGGAAGCCAACTACAACTGGCTACAACAGTAATATAAAATTACCGTGGCAGGACTGAGCATCCTACCTAGTGGTTCCATCTAGTATAGGGCAGTGAAAGAAAGAAGCAAGCCAAGAAGGTAGCTCAGAGGAATATGTGTTTGGGAGACCCTGCCATGGAACACCACCTGTAGGCAGAGGTGCTCTACTGGGCTGATGCCCTAGGAGGGCTTCCCAGAGACTTGGCACTGGCTAAAGATGGGCTCATAATGCAACAAGGAGCAGGTCTATTCCCTGCACTGCCTATGAGCTGCTGGCTCATACGCACTGTGTCGCTGGGATCCATTACCTTGTGTGTGAGAGCTGCAAACAGCAAGTAACCAGCTTGGGAATGAACCAAGCCCTTGGGTTTGCCAGTACTGCCTGATGTGTAGAGAAGAAACAACATGTCTTCACTGTCCATGACAGCAGGTTCACAGCATGCATCCTCTTTCATCATCTCCTGCAGGAAAGAGCACAGCAGTTCTTTCAGGATCTCACAGCCTCCCCTGTGTTGCTTGTGCACCTGTGTTGCCTGTGTACCTCCCCTGTTGCTCCCCACACCTTCTTGTGCACCTCTCGCCCAAGCCTCCTTCCCCTCTGAGCACCCAGCTCCCCCTAAACATCATTCCTTGTCTCTGCACCTCTGCTCCCCTTGCTCAGCAGCCTGAACTCCCTTTCGCCTTGTGGAGCTGGCAAACACTCTCCTCAGTCGAAGCAGACCTGCTGAGTAAGAGGCAGCTATTTTTACACTGCTGCTGCTCTGACCAGCACAGAAGTCTTCCAGGAAGCCTTTCCAGCACTAATTGCTTGCAGATGCGATGAGCAGAGACGGAGAGACTACTGTGTAGCTCCAGGGAGCCAGCAGAAATGCACGGCAGGGGCTCACCTGTTCAGAAACAGTGCTCCATGCTGGCAACCATAGATAATGGGCATACGAGCAACCTCACTGCCTGCTTCTTTGGACACAAATTGCTAGTAGCACTCACAGAGAATGCCAGATCTGCCAGCAGAGCGGTGTGTGACAGTGCAGTGGCAGTCCAAGGCTGGGTTCACAAAGTAGCAGCCCATGTCTGGTGTGTTTCTAGCCCTCAGTCCACCCTGCTATGAGCCCTGACTTGCACTGCCTGCTCCTGAGAGCACAGGGCTGGTAGCGTGGGAAGAGACACCAGTAGTCCATCCTGATGACTCCTGAGACTCTCCTGAACTCATGTGCAGCTCTGGCTGCAGCTGCTGCTCCTGTTGTGGGACAATATCCCCAAATTGTGTCAATGCCAGTGAAACTGTCATGGCCAGCCAAGACCCTCTCTCCACCCACTGTCCCTACTCCCAGAGCAAGCACTTTGCCCAGGGAAAGTGGCAGTAGCACCAGGCAGGCCTCACCTCCTCCAGTGGCACATCTAGGGCTGTCATGGGAACCTTGCTGGTGGTCCTCATGGAAACTAGAACCCGTTTCACTCTGGGGCAGTGCTTCACAGCCTGGTCCACTGTCTTCTTTAGTTCAATAACCTTGCCACCTCTCAGCCCCTGGTTCACTGTAATCACTATCTCTGACTGGGCTGCAGAAGACAGAAGAGTCGCATGAGCAGCTCTGCCCTTCTCTATCAGTCACACAGCAGTTTGGCTCTACCATGACGCTGCACCTCTCTCTCTGTCTCTCAGCCCCTGTTACTCATGTCCTTCATTTAGCAAAACCAGCAGATTTGCATCTTGATTTTCCATTAATTCCTGCCTGTGTTGCATCTCCTCACAGGAGATCCTGTATCCCAGCCCTTCAGTCCCACGGATGAAAGAGAAAACCAGTTCATCCCATGGGCTGGAAGGTATTCAGTGAGCTCATGCCATTTCCTGGGTTGCTAATCCCTGCTCCATGGCTATATATGATATCAGGATACCCCCAGATAGCTCAGAGAATTTTACTCAGAAAACCTTTGGCATCCACACGATCCTGAGCCCCCCAGCTGCTGAACCAGCAAGCTCAACACTGTCCCCCAAGGGAAACACATGTCACTCTTACCCACTGGCTCTTACCATCCCGGATCCTGTCCGCAAGGGACTCTGCACTGAACCCAGCGAACACCACAGCATGCACAGCCCCGATGCGGGCACAGGCCAGCATGCTAGCCACTGCCAGTGGGCACGGGGGCATGTAGATTGTAACCCTGTCACCCCGTTTCACCCCTTGCCGTTTCAAGGTGTTTCCCAGGCGACACGTCAGCTCTAGCAGTTCCCTGCCCAAAGAAGCAATTACACAGTTAGAGACTTTCTTGCAGATTTAACCACTGTGCTTAAAGACAGGGGACCTCAGAGTTATACACAGTTTATCCCTGCACTCCTCACTCTGGACGTCCATGGGAGGGCTGTAAAATTCAGTGGGAAGGAAAGCAGAAGACAGATTCTAACATGGGTTATTATTTGTAGAAAAGAAATAAAGCAAAATGGTTTCTGTACAGCAATGGCCACTGGTAATTCCTCTGGCTCAGCAAGCACACAACAGCGCAGCTGACTTCCACGATGACAGCCTGCTCATTTCTTAGCAACCTGTACAGCTGGCTTGACACACTACCCTGCATAGCTGGAGGCTACATGTGAGAAGTTAGATATTTTCTCCCATGTAAACAGGGTCCTGTGCATTGCTAAAGCTGAGAAGGTCAAGTCCTCCAGAGCTTGTGCCCACTAGCAAGAACAACAGCTGTAGGGAAGCAGTGAACAAAAAGATGCCTCTCCCGAGAAGCGTCCCTCCCAAAAACCACAGCTTGGATGTCAGTGACTCATTTTATGGAAGGGCTCTCCATGCAGGGAGATTGGTAGGGGTGGATGGTCATATTTGTAGTGTGAGGTCTGGAGCCAGAAAGGACAGAGGGACTTTTTTACTGTGCAGGGGAATTTAAGTGAATTCTGCAGCAGAAATTCAGAGAGCAGGCAAATTAAGCTGGAAGGTGGTGACCCCAAACCAACCCAGTAGGGCTGGACAGGAAGTCCTCCAGAGAGCCAAATCCAGCAGCACTGCTGACGTGCAGATGAGAATGGGATTTCTCAACACACACAGAGCTGTGAATTTGGCCTGTCTTGCAGACCATTTACCTATAAGTTTTGACTCCAGGAACCTTGCTGGGAAGGCACACGTGTGACTTTCCTGTGTGTTTTACCTACAAGCACCGCAGTGCTGCCCCAAGGATCTTACACCTGCCTCCCCAGCTGGGTAGAGACTCCTCAGGGCCCAGAGGATTTAATCAGGAGGTAGGCTAAAGTTTCAGATCAGCACAAGCAAGCCAACATTCTGTTGATCTATCTGCGTGAAGGGATGCTGCATTCCCTCACATGACAGACATCAGCAGATCAGCCCTGTAGATATTCATGCATGCTGCAACAGGACTCGTATGCTGAGAGGTAGTAACTGACCTGTATGTCACCCGTACTTCCTCTCCTGGTTCATCCTTCTCCCAGATTAAGGCCACTTTGTCTGGGGCTGCATGGACATGACGGTCCAGGCAATTCACTGGAATAGAAAACCCAGTCTCATCAACAGAGAAACCCTCAGTACATCTTACCTCTCACCTCTCATAAAGCCAGCACCAGCAGTCCAGTTTTCAGGTCAGTCAGGGCTGTGTGTGGGTCTTCTCAGCAACCTTGTGCAACATTTTTGGATACTAGCCAGCAGATCACAAGCACCATCCCAACCTCATTACACTCATCACCACTTCAATCCCCACCAATCCCCACTATCAGTTTCCCCCTTAACTGCAACTTTATGCAATCCAGAGCAGAAACTGCCTAAAGCTCCTTTGGAGGTCACATCCACAATGTCCTCAGAGTGCCCAGCAAACATTAACTCAACCACCACTCCACCCAGCACTGCCTTGCAGCTACCTCTGGGTGGACTAGGGCAGTTTTTGAGTGGCAGTGCTCCTAAATCACAAATGTAGGACAAAACAAACTCTGAGCAGGAAAGCTACAGAGTGCATTTGTCCAAGATGGAAGAGAGCCAGGGCAAAGGCAGAGCACACAGCCGCTGGCTTTCCAGGGACATCGTAAGCTGAGGCTTTGGCTGTTGTTCTTCCAAGAAAAGTTTCCCACATTGTTGGCAGCTGCAGTTTCCTCAGAAGCCTTGTTCACTCTGTGTTTTCCTTAAACCTGCTACTGAAGTCATGGGATGATGCAGCAGCCGCAGTTTGCATACCAAAATGCTTTTATCTCCTGACCACTTGTAGTTTCCCAGGAGAGAAAGAAACATACATGAAAGGGGGAATAATAAGATCTCAAATCCTAAAGGCAAATAACTCCTGCTCTCCTTTCAAAATGGACTACAAGACCTGATTTTCTGAGAGGTTTGTCTCTTATTTTGAACACTGGGACCAACACCACTGTGAGCAGGACAAAGTGTTACCAGCCCCTGGTAGCCCCGCTAAGGCAGTAGCCCCAACCCACAGAAGAGTCTCCCATGACAGTGGGGACTTCCAGTGTGGCTCATTGCTCTTGTATTTTGCTTTCTGCAGATACATCCTGCCTTCGCTGGGCAGGGATGACCTAGTGCAACCCTGCCTGCTGAATGCACAGGGTTTGGTGCTGTTGCCTGTTGCCAGAATGGAGCCACTGCCCTCATGTGGGATCCACAGAGGCTGAGGAAGAGCAGCCTGGCTGCCAGCACACCCCAATCCACCTGCAGCCCCTCCAGAAAGACCCAGCTGCTACCACAGGATAAGCCACAACCTTACACTACAGCCACTGCAGGACCAAGCAGACCTTTTGGAATCCCCCTCTCTCCAACCCTGTAACAGTGTGCTCTTCCGATATGCTCCCAGGACTGAAGCCCCACACATAGAATTACCTGCAGGCAGTCGGTGGGATCCCATGTCTGCCTCCCTCCTTACCTGCCACGTTCAGCTGCCCACCCAGGAACCAGGAGATCCTGCCCTGGTGCAGGTCACAGTCCTGGACAGAGTGGAAGGGGGTGATCCAGGTGAGCCGGCTCCTTCCTAGTGCTCCCCAGAAGGCATCCCCTTGATCCACTGAAACCTTGTACAAGTCTTGGTGGTCCTTGAGTCTGGAGAAGGTGATGGCTTCGGGCATGTAGGCAGTGAGGGGCCCATGGCTCCAGGCTCGGGCAGCCACCAACCCAACGGGGCATCTGGGAACCTGAGAAAGAGTTTTGGAGCAGCAGGTCCTGGCCAGCAGCCTGGCCATCACCGCAGGGTACCTGCCTCTCACCAAGGAGATGGGTGCCCTGGAGCCCTTTCAGCTGCTCAGGACACCTGGCCCAGGCAAAACCAGGCCCCTGTGCAAGCTGGGGCTACGTCGTCCTGGGCTAACTGGACACAAAGAAGCCCTCCAGCACAGGGAGCCTTTCTCCCCTGCCTTGTTCCTCTCCTCCTCTCTTCCAGAGCACTATGGGAAAAAAGAAATTCAATCACTTTAAGGGAGGGGAAAGGGGCGGGCTGTAGAAATATTTGACTGAAAATAACCTCCATGCTAATTTGAGTCCTGACAGCCGCTCTTGAACAAGAGCCAGGTTCAGCTTGTGCCTGGCCTCCCCTCAGGGGCCAAGGTGCCTGGGCCAGGCTCTAACAGCCTGCTGCTGCTCCTGCTCTCCCAAGGCTGCTCTGCATCCCCAGACTTCTCTGTTTCATCTCCACTCACCTCCCTCACACCTCCCTCTACTCATCCCCATCCCCTCACTCCCCACACCTCCCCTGCTGCAGCCCCACAGCCCTCTGCTGGCCACAAAGGCAGCTTGGGGCAGGTTACCTGTAAGAGTTAGGTCCCCCTTCATGCTAGTCGTGAGTGATAGGACCATCCCCTTCCCAAAATTAAAGCCCATTTACTGCAGAGAACTAGGCTGTGTTATCTGTGATGGGCAGGGAAGGCTTTACTCACTTGGCTGTCAGCTGCAGGGTGGGGATATTGCAATCCATCCCTTCCCACTGGGCAGATATCAGAGCTTTCCTCTCAGGCAAGTGGGGCTGGGCTCTCTCCCTCCTCCCAAACACTACAGACCAGCTGTACCACCAGGTGGACTGGGAGCACTCAATGAGGCCATGGTAGAGCAGGGGGTGGTGGTTTGGCATGAAACACTGCAGCCCATCTCCTCACGCTGAGACCTCCCTCCACTGTAGCAGAGCAAAGTTTCTTCCCTGCCTCCAAACATCTTTTTTTCTGCTTCCCTTTCCTTCAGGCCCTACACAGGTAGATTTTTTAAGGCAGAATTTGGAGGCTTCCTTAATTTCATTGACCAGATTCACCTCCCTTCCTAGGGGTCACAAGAGAGGGGCAGAAAAAGCCTTTCCCTGCAAGTAGAGCTGTTCTCAGTATGGCACATTGATGAGATCGACAGCAGACGTGAGAGGTTAGTAGATCTCTTCTTTGCTCTTCATAGTGTGACACCACTCATGATCTGTGGAGCTGATATGTTTGGTGAATAGGTTGGACACCAGCACGGGGAACAGGATCTATCTGCCGTCAGGTACACTCATCGCACGCTATACACCTGGTTTGTATCAGAGCTGCCCCAAGGTCAGTGGGTTACCTACAAGGGTTCTGTCACTCTGGGGAAACGCAGTCCTGTGGGCTTACAGTCCCTCCACAAAGTCAAGCCCAACCAGCCTCATCATTCCAGAAGTCTCTTATTTACTATGCACACCTGCTCTGCTTCTGCATTTTCCCCCTCCCTTTAAGACATTAGATTTTTCCATCAGACCATCCCCAGAAGCCCTTAACAAGGCAGGCAAGTCTCAACGTCTTATCTGATAACTCAGAATAGGTGCCCACTACTCTCAAATCAGAGCTCACCTTGCTGGAAATCCTGTCAGTGCCCTTCCCTTTCAACCAGCTCCCCTGCATTTGCAGCATCTGGCTGCCGCCTCAGCTCCTCAGGTCAGCTGAGCCCTGCAGCCTGCTCCTGGCAGAGGGGTTGAGCCTGCCCAAAGGTCTGTCTGACTCTCTAACACCATGGCACATGTGATATGGGGTGACCCAAAGCACCAGGGCTGTCCTGGATGCTGAAGTGACTTGTTCTCTGACCAGCTGTATGCTGTAACTTCTGCTCTGAGTACAAACACATCCCTTTCAACTTTTTCCCTGCAAAGGGAGAGCAGCACCCAAGCCCTGTATTCTCCATGCCTGGGCGGGGAGGAAGGTGCAGACCTCTTTCTATGCTGCTTTGGATCTCCCACCCCTCTCTGGCTACAGCCTGACATCCAATGCCCTCTCAGCTTTGGCTGAACTCACCCTCCTTAAACACTGGTGACCAGACTCATACACAGTATTCCCGTTTAATTTTATTCTTGTTCATATCTTTACAGAAAATGGCACATAAATCACAGATGCTGGATGACTAGAAGTTGTTACAGCTCCATATCTCAAACACCTCAATACTGAATTCTTTTCTCACTGTATATACATTATTTACACCCCATGGGCTAAATCTAACACGTCGAACGACCAGGGAACAAAGACGAACAGGGGTTGGATGAGCGGGCTGAACATTTGACAGAAGAAAAACTGTGGGGAAAGGGTGCTCACAGCTGAAAGCAGGACAGAAAGGGGCACCTGGAAGTCACTGTCCTACAGCTTTTGGAGGGGGAATAGTGCCCTACTGGGATGGAAAAGTGATGGTACCATGGAGTGGGTTTGGCTGTGTGAATCTGCATGTGCTTATATGGCATGTATGTACACATTACAGGGTGTATCAGAGTGGATGTGCATGGCTGTCATTCCCTTTAACACTCAGAGGGTGAGCTGGACAAATTTAAATCAATAAATACATTAGGTGGATGTTGTTGTCTCACCTGCAATAATGTATTCAGTAAATAATTTCACCATCTGGCCTCTCTGCAGGGGTGCAGGGCTTTGGAGTTTGGGGCAGAGTCAGACCCAATTGCAGTCAGACCCAGCATTGCAGGAGCCAGCAACATGGGTTGGGGTCACCTCAAATTGCCAGGTGGGACCAGGGTGTTTTGCCTGTGGGCTAAACCTGCCTCTCCTTGCCAAACAGGGGCAAAACATAACCGGCCTAAAGTTGCAGCCCCTTCCCAGCAGACCCCAGTGCTGGGCAGGGAGATGGGAGGAAAGTGCAAACTACCCTGCATGGATAGTCATTGTTTCATGCAAACACTGCCATGGGCTTGTCCTGCTGTGGCCTGGGCCAGAGGCAGAGGTGATAGCCAGGGGAAGGTAATGGGTCTGCCTGGGGCATGGTGGAATAGGGCACAATGGGAAGGGACCTAGGCAGCACTGGGGAGAGAAGTGCACCAAGGAGGGCCATGGCAGCAGGGGACAGGCTTGCTTCAGGATGGCAGACGGGCTTTGGGGCTGCAGCAGCAGGAAAAAGCCCCAGAGACAGTCATGAGGCTGAAGGGACCAGAGCCTTGGTGTCCTCTCAGGTGGCAATGATGATGTGTGTCCCCCAAAAGGAAGGGGTGGGGGGTAAGGAAGGCCTGGTGGGGCAGAGGACTGAGGGGCAAGGGTATGCTCAAGGGGAACAGGCAATGGGCACCCCTGCCAGGCAGCCCCAAACACAGAGACCAGGGCCCTGCTCCCTGGCAGGGGTGGCCAGGGAGGCCTGACAGTCTGAGTAGGAACGTGGTCCCCAGAGGACAGAGTGTCTGTCGGGGCTGGCTTCCACCGTCTTTCTTCCCCCTAGATCAGCTTCTCCTCCTTCTGCGACGAGTTCAACTTCTCCGTCTGTCTCTCATCCTCTGCCACTGCCATCTCCTCCCCTGTCTCCGGCTTCCTGCCTGGGGCTGGGGTGTCCCCAGCAATGGTCCCCAGGACTTTGGTGCTGTGCTCCTGAGCTTTGGCCCTGAGGGCGGCAATGCTGTTTTCTCTCAGTTCCTCCTGAGAAATGGTGGTTTTGGGATCCGGACCCCTCTCTTCCTTGTCACCTTTGTCAAGCTTGGGCAGGGCCTGGCGCTCCACCTCTGTCTTCCTCCCCGCCTCAGCCGCTGCCTCCAGAGACTTTTTGTGCATCCCTAAAAAGAATTGTTGGTATTCGGGTTTAGAAAAGCGCCTGGGCATGGGAAAGCCATCTTGAACTGAAAACAGCAAAGATAAAGAGAGGCCAGAATTAAGGAAAAGCAGAAACCCTCACTTCACACAGCAGTCACGGGGAGCCACTTGCTCCTGCACCCGTGCGAGGACAGCCCGGACAAGGCAGCTGCCTGTTGGGGCAGCCTGGTATCTGTGGACTCCGGGCTGCCCCCAAAGGTCTATAATTACTCTCCTCTTCATTTCTCTCTGTGAACCTAAAGCTAACTTGTCCCTGCATGGGGATGAGGGTCTCAGACAGCAGCACAGTTGCCTGAGATTCACTGAGGATGGGGAGGGAGATCCCTATTGCCTATTTCTGTATCAACCCACTCTACACAACCGCCCCTCTGCCTCTCTGTTTCACAGAGACAGAAGGACAGGACAGCCCATCGTCAAGATGCCAGACAGTGGTTTTGGGGCAGAACCAGCCTGGGAGGTCAGAAAGAGGGAAGTAAAGAGCAAGAGTGTGTTAGGGTAGCTGCTACCTCCATGTCTGCACAGAAAACCAAGTGAAACCAGACAGAAATGGAGCTCCACCAGGTGTCAAGAGCAGGAGGAGGCAGCAGAGTGTTCCCCCTGGGACCTGGGGCATGGACAGTGCATTTGGGGGGCCTGATACCCCACACAGCATCACAGGGCTGGAGGAGTGAGACTGGGATGACCTCCTGCCCTGGACAAGGGTTAGAGCCTTTGCTCCGGGGCTGAGCATGAAGGATGCTTTAGCCATGGGAATTGAAGGCTAACATCAGCCTGAGCATGGGGACAAATTCCTGTCCCAACCAGATTCTGCAGGTCAGGGTCCAAGGTCCAGCAGGAATTTGGGATGAACAGTCAAATCCTATTGACAAGGGTCATTGGGGGACAGGGGGCATTGAGTGAGGCAGGGCAGGGAGAACCTCACCCTGCTGCCCTTCACCCATTTTCAACATAACTCTGATTTCTTCCTTGCTTCCCTCTCTTTGTCTCTACCCACTCGCCATCACCCATGAAGGCAGCTGCTCTCTTACCCAGGAGCCAAGGGGCACAGGACTCCATGATGCCATCCTTGGCAGACTTGAGGATGGACTCGGGCAGTGGGATGGAGTGACGCACCATGGCACCGTAGAGCCCATACTCAGCCATCACACTGCTCCTGCCCCAGCATTTCTCCCTCTTCCGCCATTTGGCCCGGCGGTTCTGGAACCAAACCTGGAGCAAGCAACAAGGAGGGACATGGGTTTTTTTGCAAGGAGAAGGCATGTCAGTCCCTTTCCCACATGGGAACACACATATTTGTGCAGCAGGGTGAAGGCAGATGTGTGGATGCTCATCCTGAAGGCACTACAACCTCTTTTCCTATGCAGTAGACACCAGGTATCTCTCCCTCCCTCCCTTGCAGGAGTGGCAAGGGCCAAGTGTGAAAGCAGGTCCCACCCCTCTCCGCAGGATGTAATTAATTTGCCATTGCAGCGACTTTTTCTAGTGGCTTTTGGCTCTTGTGCCTGGGATTTTCTTTTATTATTTACTGGGTATCTGAGCAGCAGCACAGGGCTGCAGGCAGTGGTGCCTGAAGGGAGGGCTTGGATGGGGGTGGAGGATCAGGAGAAACAGGAGAAGGGGGAAGCTGATCTGTGCGCTTTGCCCTGAATTCCCAGTTTGAAAAGCCCCTCATCTTCTCAGAAAATTGGCAGAATAATCTCTGAGCTGTGACCTGGGGGCCAGCAAGCAGAGAGGAGGGCAGCAATGGAGGGGAGGGGGTGATACTGGCAGAAATCTATTAGTGCTCTCTCTCTGATTTCCATTCCTCTTGTCTCCCTCACCCTCCTCCCTCCCCGGCTCCCCTCCCTTCCCACCGAGCAGAGGCATCAGCTTTAGATGAAAAATTGCTTGAGGTCTATTCAGAAGGAGGCAAAGGAAGAGTCAGCCCCAGGGGCAGCCCAGGCCTGATTGAAAAATAAGTTAATTTCAGTTTGAATCGATGGGCCTCAGGCACTGAAATATCACGGGAAATTAAAGCAGCTGGTCCCCAGGGAACCACGCCATTGACCTGCGCTAATTAATGCCATGGAGTTACCAGGCCCCTCTCCAAAAGGCAGCCCCTCCCTCCCTGCGGACACCCCAAACACCTCCTCATTTAACTAATTAGACTCACAGAAAATTGGGTGTTAATTTGTTTAGGATTTTTTTTCTTTTCTATTTTTTTTCCCTCCCTTTCCCAGAAAGTACATGGCAGAATGGAAATGAATGGCAGGGTCTCGCTGGCAGATGGATGCTCGGGGTCACTCCGCAATCTTCTCCGACTTGATTGCTTGATTAGGTCGTTAGCACATTAAAAAAAAAAATTGCTTGCCGTCTGGCGCTGGCCTGATGAGTGGGATGAGGCGGGATTCGCCTGGGTAATTTATCTTTTTATACTGCAAAGAATTTGATTTCAATCTGCAGATATATGGAGGTGCCTTTGACACCTGTTTAACATTACAGAGCTGACAGCTTAACCCTCTCTTGTCCCCACTGTTCATTTCCTTGAGGGAGCCCAAGCTGCACTGGGGGGCACTGGGGGTCTGTCCCAGACCGCCAGCTCTGCCGTGGGGACAGTAACACTGATGCCAGGGAATGATGTCCTGCTCTCACCTAGTAAGGCAAGCTCACCTCTTCTACCTGTGCAGAGAACTGCCTGGCACTGCAGCCCTGTGGTGGGGACAGAGCTGCAGAGTAGGCGGGTGGTTTGCTAACACTGGTGACAACCAGCCTTGGCCATTCCTGGGAGCTCAGCCAGCCTGCTCCCGCAGAGAGCTGGGTGGGGTGGTGGTCCCAGTGGCTGTGATCCCAGCTTCTCCCAGCAGAAGACACTCTGTGCATGTCAGAGGGAATTTTATAGCTGGGCTGCTTCACCACACATCACCTCCTCTGCATGATGAACAGTCTGATTTACACTTTCATACTGCCAATACCTAACCTCTGGACCATGGATGGCTGCAAATCCTCCAGAGCCTGAGCAAAGACCCTCAGGAATGCACACCTTCCTCTTTTTCACCTGCTCCTCCATGCCCGTGTGAAACACGGGGTTGCTTGGCCCTGTAGTCAGCAGGATACTGAGAGGGTCTCTCACTCCAGGCATTCCTCCCACTCCCAGAGCCCAGAGTGAAGAGCTGGAGGCTCTTCACTGGAGGCTCCTACTCCAAACTCAGCCCAAAATTCCATACTTCTTTTTCACCCACCAGACCCAGGCAGCCGGACAGCCACCCCCCTACAATTCCATGCTGTGAGGGGACAGTTTAACCCACGTGAGATGGGAGAGAGATCCTGCCTGTTCTGCCCTGGATAAACCAATACAGTTAGATCCATCACAGCAGAGCTCCTCTCCGATTTCAGAGATAAATTCCTGCACAGTCCCATGTCTGGTGCCTGTAAATCTGGCTTGGTTTGGGGCTGCAGTGACACTCTTCCACGCACCTAGAGTGGCTTGCAAGGCTCACCTCTGTACAGCTGTTTTTGTCACTAGCTGACACGCTTTAGGATCTCAGCCCACGAACAGGTTCTTCCACCAAGTACCAAGTGGGCAACTTTTTAAACTCCCCTCAAACTTATTTTATCAGATGCCTATTCACTGATGCTTTTACTACCTTTCCCTTTCTCTTCCCTCCTGCCTTGATGTCCCAAACATCTTCCCCCATGCCTCACACTCCTCTTCCCTTCTCTCTGGTCAGGTCTCAGCCTGCCCACTGCTACTAAACCAGATGCCCTGAAGCATCCCCTTTTCCATGACTGTGTTACACAAACACTGGAGGCAGCAGAAGCTTTACCAGCTGGCAGCCCAGTCTTGACTAGAGACAGTAGAAAATTTGCAATCAAAAAATGCTGATTCAATCACATAGGAAAAACAGTGTCCAGCCAGTGGAAGTGTAATCAAAATTATTTATGGCTTTCTTATGAATGCTGTATTTTAATTTCAGATGCATAAGACATGCAAAATCTATGCTTTAAAGCCAAATGGGAATATCAAAATTACATCAACATTTCAGTAAGATTATTCTAAGATTTCTGAAACCAATTTTTGTTTTTTGATGGGAATTTCCTCTTAGTTTTGACTAGGAAAAATGAAAGTTTGAAATCCCAGAATGTCTATCAGAATAGAAATCAGGAAGACTGACCATCTCGCTTTAATACCAGGAGCCATATCTTATCTCATGAATGAAGCTGAGTGAAACCAGTAGTCCTTTTTACAGAATATTGCTGGGATCAGATCCCAGCCCAGCATCTCTGCCACAAGCCGATCCCAAGGAACATGGAGAGAAAAGCTCCAGCATGGCACTGGCAGCGCCCACGCCATTTCAGATCAGCAGAATTGTTCCCTGTGGCCTGTTCTCATGATTTTGTCCTCATTCAGATGGCTCCATGTGGGACTTTCTTCTGGGAGATCTCGCTGCTTTCTCCAAATTTCTCGATGTTTTACCAGAATTTTCCCATGCCTTGATTCTGAGCTGAATTATGCACTGGTTTTAGTAATTCAGAGGTATTCTCAGCTCTGTTGGTACATCAGCCACAACTTCCAAATATGCAGTTATTTATTATTGGCACCTCACTTCTCCTGGAGTGGGTTCACCCTTACACTTACATTTACTCATGGTTTTGGTATTCTTCAGCTGCTTACTGTCCTTTCTTGCTTTACTTCTTCCAGCTCTTTAAAATTTGATCTGCTACAAGCAATGTTTAGGTTTGTCCATGTTTCCTCTTGCCCCTTCCCATTCTGTGGATTGGCTCAGCTTTGTGAAATGCTTTATTGATATGGTTGTGTACCGTGCACCTTCCTTCTCACTTGCTTTCATGTGGTTCTCTGTTGCACAGCTCAGGGTATGGTAAAAAGACTGTGCTTCCATACCTCATGGGCAGTGGGGAAACCCCCTGATTAATTTTAGACTGAAGCACATCAGATGTGCTATTACAATCTGATGTGGAGAGGTGTCTTTTGGACCAATGTGCTATATCTTAAGTTTTACAGCTCTTTATTTTCACACAAACACCCTCTGGAAAACCCAGGAAGCTTGTTCCAGGAAACTTACCCTCAAAAAATGGATAACAGAGTAAAGTGGACAGGTTTGTCTTGCAGTATTGCAAAGCCTTCTAAATGGGAATGTTTCTAACTTTAATCATCATCTAATTCTCACCTCCAGTGCCCACTGCCCAAAGCAATAAAAGTTGAGGCACTCTATGCTTGACCACAGGGTTGCAAGTGTTTTGAAGCTGGAGTTTTGGAGCTGGAGTTTTGGAGTCAAGACTGGCAAGGACAACCTTGCCAGTTTCCTCCTCTGAATCACAAATGACAACTGACACTTCTTCGGATTATTGATGATGCAGAAGAGCAAATTATAGGAGGAGGAATCTCTCATTTTGCAAAGGGACATGAGACTCAATGTATCCTTGTTATCCACATTCATTATATTAGTTAGTTTGTTTACCTAATCAGTGCCTGAAACATTGTCTGCTAAAGAGAGAAATCTCCCTGTGACTGGCAATGACCCAGGAATCTGAATTAGCAAAGGGGTATTTTAAAACATCTATGGTGTTATTGTGTATTGTTTCTGTATCGTTTCAACCTAAAATTTTCCACTGGTTACACTCATTTTCTTGGCTGCTACTTTCCAAGCTGGGGTACACAGATGGGGGAATTGGTATTGGATTTTTTGTCTTCCTAATACAAAAAAATGTTATTTTCTCTGCCTTAGCATGCTTCATCTATTAAAGGAAAACTCCAGGCTAGATAACGGTGAATTTTTGCTTCACCAAATCGTTCATACTGCCTTTGAAATAGCATTTCAACAGGGGTCTTTCAAAGAATGAGCTTTATGGACCACAAGCCGGTCGCAGCCCAAAGCAGCACAAGCTGAATGTCCACTAGATGGCCACAAGCAGATGAACGTCCGCACCTGCAGACACATCGACACAGACACACAGACACTCCAGCACATGCTTTTGCCAGACTGCGTGGAGCAGCTGCACACAGCTGTTGGGAAACCAGCATCCAAAGCAAAGGACAAAATTCCAAGACCCCCAACGGCAACGCTGAGACCATCTCCCCTGCCCGTGGACTGATAGGCATATCTTCTGCATACCTGCCACTTCTCCACTTGAAACCCTTTGGTGGATCCAGCCGCAGACCAGACAACACCTCCAGTTCACCTCCACATCCAGAGCCCTGCTGCCACCTTAGC